GACGTCAGTATAATTTTGTGAAAGCTCCTCTAACCAGTTGTGGTTGAGAACACGTCATGCTCGTGAAGACCGGCGAGAGTAATCCTTGGCAATCATAGCAGTCGCGAAAGTCTCTCTGACCCAAAGATTAGTAATGCTATTTTGTATGAGGAAATTTCACGATTTGGGCTGGCCGAAGTTAAAAACGCGTGATGGCCATGCCTTTCTCACTACCTGGGAAGGTTGTAATTTACCCTTAACTTGAAATCAAATGTGGTGTAACTCGCAATTATGCAGAAGAACGACGAAGTATTCGAAGCAACTGCTCAAGTTTGACACTTTGCAACCAGAACATATCGACTACATTGGAACCCAGAAAAGAAGTGGCAGCGCTCTCTTGCAATGAAATACCGAAGTGGCATCTGGAAGAAACCCTTAAAAGCCAGCCAGATACGATAGGCGTATAAACGGCCTCCGATACAATATCATTCAAGAATATCTGGTCCTGAGCAGGCTTAGTGCACTTCCTATCCCAGTTTTGCTCTGTAAGCATCGCAGCACCAGGCTTCACATCCCCATCGCCAAAAACACCAAAAAATGCCCAGACAAATATCTTGTTGCCGAATGGTGGTTTTCACGGCAGCATCCCTTCTGGCGAGCAAGTTGTTGTTGGTAATGAACTTATCCCTCTTAATGCATTGCAAAGTTTCTCTGCCATTACACTTGCTTGTGGTTTTCGTTATTCTTTACCTAATCCTTGATTACTCGGCCGAAATTCTGAGCTAATCTCATTAGTGTGACTTTTCTTAATAAGGAGCACTGAATAAGGGGCTGGATATCGTCTCAAGCATTGCTATCATCTCAGATTAGGTTTTGGATTTTTTAACGGTCATTGAATCGTCGTGTATCTATCTCAACGCTCATGCCTATTCACTTCTCGTTTGAAACGGTCAAAACGGTTCTATTCCGACCACTTTTCTGCCATTTTCACTTCACTTTCGCACTATTTCACTCCACCACGTTTGTTTTCTGCACATCGTGCCCGCTGCCTTCAAGGATGAGGGAGTGCGTGAAGTGGCCTGCAAAGTAAGAATGTGGTGTCATTCTTGCCGTACGAACAATTAGAACAAGGAGCACAGATGCTGCAAAGTGCAATGACGTCTGCGTCAGTTGTTTTCACATATAGTTCTACATCGTAAAAATGATAGCAGAAGCATGAGCAAGTTGGACTGCGACTTACTCAGGTCGCAGAACACAGGGAAGTGTGTTGACCTGAGATCGCGATGAAGCCTAGTTAACCTCGACCGTTTTTCTTCGAGATTCGATAAATAAACAGGCGTGGCCGAGAGGCAAGGATAGCGAGAGGCAGGGATACCGGACGTGTTTAAGAAAGGCGGCTTCGTGTATCCGCGACGAAACCACACGCTGAAGTAAGGTCACAGGTGCAGTTCGATCCCTGCCGAGGCACAAACCTGCCTTGCAAAATTGCAAAAAAAATGGACGATACCAGCGTCAGGCCCAGGTTGACAGGCCGGCTGATGGAGAAACCCGTCACAACAATCATGACAAGTCGCAAAAGTATCAGTGTTAATGCTAGGACGTCACCCGGAAGTGGCGCGCAGAACCCTCGCCCGAGTTCTGTGGTCAGTATGCGAGGGCTACCGAGGCGTGAACGACCTCGGCCAAAGAAGCTAGTTCGAATAGGGACCCTGAACGTGGGGTCGCTTACCGGGAAGTCTCGCGAGGTTGCCGACCTCATGAGGCGCAGGAACATCCAAGTCCTATGCCTTCAGGAAACGCGATGGAAAGGTGCAAAGGCCCGCGAGATTGGAGAAGGTGTCAAACTCTTCTACAATGGAGCAGACACCAAACGGAACGGCGTGGCCATAGCGGTAGCAGAATCCCTGAAGGACTTGCCGTTCTTAGGCACAGTAGCAACGACTGAGCAGTCAGGTGACGCGATGTCATGGGAGTGAGATATGGACCCACGCGATCGGAGTCGGGACTAACCTGGACAGTCACATCGACCCGAGTGGTAGCTCGCACCAACTACCAGGCCCGGTGCTTGATCCGAGGCGAGAAAGGATGAGTTGAGCTTATCTACTGGAACCGCACGCCATAAGACAGAATGACGATCTCCCCTCACCATAGCTGGGGATCTGAATGGCCACGTGGGAAATGACAGAAGAGGCCTAGAAAGGGTGCACGGAGGTCAAGGAATAGGAGCGAGAAATGCTGAAGGAGAACGGATCCTTGACCTAGCTACAGCTCACGACTTAGCAATCTGTAGCACCTTCTTCGCGAAAAGGAGGACTCAGAAGGTAACCTACAGCAGTGGAGGGAGACAAACGGAAATCGACCACGTTCTGGTGAGAAGGTCGTCTCTCAAAACTGTCAAGGATGTCAAGATACTGCCTGGGGAAGACCTGGGCCCTCAGCACAGACCTCTCCTGGCAGATATCGCGATAGACCTCCCCAAGAAGGCGAGAGTGAAAACAGAGCAGAGCGAAGGATTCGCTGGTGGAAAATGCGGAACGCAGAAAGGTATAGCCTCGGCCAAAGGATACTGGAGGCTGGGCTCCCGGACCCACATGGGCCAGTCCAGGACACCTGGAGCCACGCAGCAGAGGTCCCTACAGTGCGCAAAGAGTCCTGGAGAGACGCGAGGTGGTATCAGAGGAGACAAGGCAGCCTGGTTCTGGAACGAGGAAGTCCAGAGGATCGTCAAGCAGAAGAAGGAAGCATACAAATGCTGGCAAAAGACACGGAGCCCAGAAGACTACGCTGCCTACAAGAGCTGCAAGCGACTCGCTAAGGCGGCCGTTGCTAAGGCCAAGAATACGGAAATGGACGCCCTGTACGACAAGCTGGAAGGCCGAGAAGGGGACAAGTTCGTCTTCCGCCTGGCTAAAGCTCGGCATCGCGCAGCTCAGGACATCAGGGTCGTAAAGACTGTGAAGAGCAGCAACGGGGCCATTCTCAGGAAACCAGCCGAAGTCAGGAAGAGGTGGGAAGAATACTTCGAGGGACTTCTGAACGAAGAATTCCCTCGCAAGGATAGCCCACAGATAGAGGCGACGGCAGGTCCCATCACTCCCTGGACGAAGGATGAAGTTCGCCGGGAGCTAGGGAGAATGAAAGCTGGGAAAGCAGTGGGTCCAGACGGGGTACCGATAGAGGCATGGAAGGCCCTTGGAGAGCATGGGGTGAGTTGGCTCACGCACTTCCTAAACGTAACAGCTGAAGGAAGGATGCCGAATGCGTGGAGGAGCAGCACAATCGTTCCCATCTTCAAACAGAAAGGGGACGCGACGGAGTGCTCCAACTACCGCGGGATCAAGCTGACTCCCCATACCATGAAGCTGTACGAGCGCCTGGTCAACACAAGGCTAAGGGAACTTGTCCCGATCTCGCAGGAACAGTTCGGCTTCATGCCCGAGAGGTCCACCACCGATGCCATCTTCATCGCCAGACAGCTGATGGAGAAGTACAGAGAGAAGCGGCGACCCTGCTACCTAGCCTTCCTGGACCTTGAGAAGGCATTCGACCGCCTGCCTCGGCCTGTACTCTGGAGAGCGCTCAGAGAACGAAACGTTCCGGAGCACCTGGTCTCCATAGTAAAGGATATGTACGATGGAGCTAAAGCAGCTGTACGCACCCCGCACGGCTTGACGAAGGAGGTAAAAATCACGGTTGGGGTACACCAAGGATCAGCCCTCAGCCCGTTCCTCTTCCTCCTGACTCTAGATGTCATGGCAGAAGAACTCATGGAGGGACCGCTAAAAACCATCCTCTACGCTGACGACATCGCCCTGATAGCGGACAGCAGGAAAGAACTCCAGGACAAGGTGCAGCGGTGGCAAGATGTGCTCGCTGAGAATGGACTCCGGTTGAACGTGAAGAAAACCAAGTTCCTGAGCTCTGAAGAGTGTAGCGAACCCATCGTAGACCGTCACGGCGAGAACATCGAAAGGGTCGAGGACTTCCAGTACCTGGGGAGCCACCTATCAGCTGATGGCAGCGTGGATCAGGCGGTGAAAGCCCGAATCAACGCAGCCTGGATGAAATGGAGGGAGTCCACTGGAATCCTGTGCGACCGGCGGTGCTCGAGAACACTCAAGGGCAAGGTGTACCGGGCGGTGGTAAGGCCTACAATGCTCTACGGCAGTGAGTGCTGGCCCATCTGCAAGAACCATGAAAGGCAGCTCCATTCAGCTGAAATGAGGATGCTGAGATGGGCGTGCGGTTGGACACGACTCGACAGAGTCAGAAACGAGGATGTCAGGGCGGTCACACAGACGGCCCCGATCCAGCTGAAAGGCACGAGAGCAGCGCGACTGCGATGGTATGGGCACGTACTGAGGAGGCCTGAAGACCACCCAATAAGAAAAGCCTTGGAATTCGAAGTGGAAGGCAAGCGACCACGAGGAGCCCCAAAGAAAAGATGGAGGGACGTCATCAAGAAGGACCTCACTGAAGTGAAAGCCACGGCAGAAGATGCAGTGGATCGGAACAAATGGCGACGTCTAACAACAGCGGACCCTGCGACGGCGCGGGACTACGCTAGGGAGAAGAGAAGAGGATTCGAAATAAACAAATAAACAGTCGTTTGAGAGCATCAGATAGACTTCCGTAACATCCTCGAGGAGCGTATGTCAATGCTGATGATTAATCTGCCGACATTGGCCGAAAAGCCAGTTTACCTGAAGTCCTTCAATTAGTGATGCTGAATGACTGTATGAACCCGTTGATTTTTTAGAAAATATTCATTTTAACAGCTTCGGTTCTTCGCGACACGGCACGATTGCGCACATATTTGATCGACCGAGTTTTGCCCTTGTTCCGCCAGAATATCGTGGATGAAATCGCTGCCGAATCCCGTAGTATGGCCGCTAGTCAGAGGACGTAGGGTTCTACATAGGATCAGATTTGAATTTTCTTCGATTCTGCTTTTGAAGTGAAATAAGGACTGCAGTGCAAAACATTTGGCATGAAACATTTGCGTTTACATAATCTCTTTCTTATTCCGAATATTCTTTTCTTTTTTTTCGAATTCTTGGGCAACCGTTGGCAAAATTGACATTACTCACGACATTTTTGTTGTTAATTGCTGTTGAGTTGCTTGCCTGTGCGTTGAAAGTACAAGTACGATAGTCGCAATCAATACCTCGCCGTCTAGTGATGTAGTAACTGACAAACGAATATTCCAGTAGTACCAAAAATATCAAGGCCTGTGAGAAAGTCAACCAGATGTCGAGTGCCTTGATGTAAGACACCTGAAATGATGTGGCTATAAGAGGCCGTCAACTAATATTTTGAAATTTTGGAACCGACCTGTGGAAGATCTTGCCGGGCTCCATTGCTCATAGTAGTTAGAGTCAGAAGACTAGTAATTGTTAAGGTGATTCGAGCTGGAGATGCTCGTGTGGATCCAGCCAAAATGTCATCCATGATATGGAAACCAGCATACCTGAATTAGAATCGCATGGGTCTGTGATAATATGGAGATAATGCGTCGCGTTTACAGGATTTGTAGCTCTTTTTAAGATTGGTCATCAAATCACTAAAATCCGCGCATGCACTTTTCCCTACTCAAAACGTCTGACAGAGTTTATGGTACCCTTTCCAATGAGATGTCAAGTTTCCTGTTCGCTTTTGCCCACGATATGAACGCTGATCAAAGCACTTGACAGTATGGAAAGTGCCCTGTCATTACCATTCCTTTTAAAAGATACCTTTCGTACTATCTAAAACACCGTGGGTCAGCACAAAACCGAGGGCAACTGTGACGTGGAGCAAAATCTGGCCGTCCGCCGCCAGTGAAGATCCAAAAATTCGCGGGACCCACTAACGAAACATATAGCCAGAAATGACGTATCAGCTTGAACTCGTTGGAATAAAATGAGACTGGGAAACGTTCGCATGAGTGCCCGAACGAATGTTGGGATTTTCCGAGGTTTGCCACGTTGAGGATGTATTGTGGTGAGAGTAGGGAATATTAATGACTGAATATATGAAATATATCCAGAGCAGTTAGGACCGTTAAACTTGATTGGCAAGGGTTCGACTCGAAACCCCTTCAAGAAGAAGAGGAAAGAAGAAAAGAAAAAAAGCGCCTGCTTTCCATCCTTTAGAAACAGCCAGGGATTTTCTGTGCCTTAGAAGAGCATATTTCCATACATGCTGGTGCATTCGTTGTCTATAGAGTAATCCCATTCCTTTTTCATGGACAAAAGCAGCGTAATATGGAATCCTACACTTGTTTTTGACCAACGTTAGGTGTTTTCACTTCTCCAAAAGAAGCTGATGTTCTCACACCTTTCCTCGTTGAAGTGCTTCACATTCCGAGCGATGAGTTCTGGGCTTTTTTCTGAGGTTTCTGATCAGATCTTCGCGTAGCCTCGCAAAGTTTTCGCATTCGCATTTTCCTCTTTTGACATGCATTTTCAAGTGATTCAAGCTGACGCAAGCTTCCACTGCCCTGCGCGTTCTTGAGCTTTTGAGATGTTTCCCAAGTATTCAGAAGCATTAATGCTTCATAGAAACCGACTGTGCATGTCTGCACAGGAACTAAGTTCTACCGCACAGTCGCTATCCCCCCGCAGTCGTTATCCCGGATACATGTCCCCACAGGCTTCAACGGCAACGAGTGTATCTTTCCAGACTACTATCCAAAAATCATCTCACCTGTAGGAATATAAGTTTGAATAATGTGAAACAGGACCAGTCGCTTCATGACAATAAACGCCCGGATACAACTCCAATATGCTGAAACGAAACAACGCAGTATGCGAAGGACAGAGAAGAAGTAACAAAATGGTTAGCAGCACATACAAGTAGTGTTGTCATGCGGTAGGAGGCGTGTTCGTTGTGTTACTCAGCTTTTGTGAGGGAGAAACTATCAGAGAACAATATTGTTAGTTTGTGTAGTTTATGGTGATGTGCAAGCGTTAGCATGGTTTAGGCGAATGGAAGGTGAAGGAGAAACACGCGATGTGAACCATATGTAGTGTGGTGTTGCATTGACTAAGCTTACTGTTACACTCTACAGCTGATACCGCCGAGAACATGTCGGTGCTAAGAGGCACGGAATGAGCCTACCCGCGGTGTTCTTGGTTGTTTTTCCTGAAGCAATCTGTAACCGATCACTATGTATCGGTGGAAAGAACAACCAGAAGCACTGTGAAATTTCTTCTGTGGAATCCCTTCGCGAGTTGATGTACCACTTTATTCGGCTTACGCACTATGGAGCAACGACTAGCGCCCACACTGGCCATCCTTCATGTCCAGGATAGAGGCGCCTGTTTTGGAACGCCACCCCATGCTTATACTTGCCGGTACATCGACGATTGTTTGGTGGTCTGCTCTACACATTTAAGAGCAAGATGCCTGTTTTGACCTGCTCAACTCGCAGTCTGGACACATAATAAGGGAAGAATCCATACATAAACATTCAATGGAGATTCAGGGCGGCACGCTCTCGACAAAGTGGTACAGGAAGCCCAGCAGCAAGAACATCATCGTGCACTGCCAGTCTGCCCACCCTCTCCAGAGCGCTGTAGTGAGAAACATATTCCGAACGGCAGCACACGTCTGCTCGGGAGGTGAGAAGCGGAAGGAGTCTTTGAAAATGGCGCACGGTATAGCTGTTGAAAATGGCTATGAAACGCCTTTGACCTCCCACAGAGCCAGAATTGGTGGAACCAACAGCAGACGCGGTGGTAGCGTGATAAGCGGCAAAATCCCTTTCATGCTACCATTCGTCTCCGATGAGGTGAGCACTTCCGTAAGGAGGTGTCTGAGGAGGTCAGGTTTGGATAACATAGTAGCCATTGTAAATATACCACCCAATAACCTGAAGCGCCGCCTGGTGAGGAATCGATTGTACGACTGCTATGTACAACCCCCGGTCTGCCCGACCGGCAAAGAGGGTGATTGTACTATGACAGGGGTGGTCTACAAAATCACCTGTCGCAGCTGTGGGGACCAGTACATCGGCGAGACGGCTCGTCCGCTTTGCGTGAGGGTGAAAGAGCATCTGGATGGTATGAACAGGTCACGAGTGTCTACTGCCTTGGGGCCCATAGGGTTCAAATCCACAACGGAGAAGATTTTGGAGTCGCGGTCGAGGTCCTGGCGCGAAAGGCACAAATCCAGGTCATCTATCCAAAAATGAACCGGAGGGAAGAATGCCTCACTATCACGCGGGAACTGAGGCCCTATATAAGGTTGGCCTTCCACGAGGGCTCTGAATGCAGAGCAGTCCGATTCGGTTCACTAGCCAGCTTCCTACTGGTCTCGAGGATCGAACTGTTCCATGGTAAATGGTCTTCCTAGTGACTGGGTGATAACCTGATCTGGGGTCGGATTTCAGTAGGACTGCAGAGATATTTGGTCGGATAGTCCCAAATCGTTCCGATCCTTTCAGGATCTGATGAGATTTCGACAAGATGTGTGTAAGCCGAATGAGGCATATAAACCTCGCGAAGAATTTCCACAGAAGAAATTTCACAGTATTACAACTATGCCGAGGTTTGTGGGGAGCCTACTTGGAGGAGCGGGCTCATTCCACGGCCTCCTGACACCGCTACAAGTGACCACGAGGATGCCAACTATGAGATTAGAGCAGACGCAGCCTCGAATCATC